TTTAGGGAATCAAAGCCATCGCCATCATGGTTTTGCCTAAATCCAAGAAATCCGTGGGACTGGGTGCCAGTCTCATGAACGATCGGTTCGGAAAAGGCAAGGCATCCTCTCAGAAGAAGGTCTCTCACAACAATGCCATTCAGCGCACAGGTGTCAATGGTGAAACCTATGTCACCAACGAGGCAAAGGAGGCTTCGTGGGTCAAGATGCGCAGTATCACTGAGCAGGCCGCGCTCGACGAGTTCCTGAGTACCGCTGAACTAGCTGGAACCGACTTTACCGCTGAAAAAATCAACAACGTCAAGATCATCCACTCCGATCAGAAGAACCCCTTCCTTCTCACCCCCACCGAAGAGAAGAAGGCTTTCATTAAGCACCAGAAGAACAAGGACCGCCTCACTGTTCCCCGACGACCCAAGTGGGACCAGTCCACAACTCGACATGAATTAGAAACGATGGAGAAACAAAGTCTGTTGGACTGGCGACGAGGACTGGCCGAGCTGATCGAGAACCATGATCTGCTGATGACCCCATTCGAGCGCAACTTGGAGGTCTGGCGCCAGTTGTGGCGTGTTATTGAGCGATCCGATCTTATCGTGCAGATTGTCGATGCGCGAAACCCGTTACAGTTCCGTTCGGAGGATTTGGAGAGTTACGTCAAGGAAATTGATCCTCGAAAGCAGAACTTGCTCTTGGTCAACAAGGCTGATATGTTGAGTCTGAAGCAAAGAGAAGCCTGGGCTGAGTACTTCGAGAAGAACAACATCAACTTCCGTTTCTTCTCTGCCCACCTCGCCAAAGAGAAGAACGAGGCCCTCGCTTTGCAGGAGGAGCAAGAAACCGACTCTGATGCTGAACTTGCCCAGTCGGCGCAAAAGATCAACGTGCACGCTACTGAGGATGATGGATACAAGAAGGAAGAGACAGTGGAGGAAGAAAGAGCTAAGCTTGCCGACCCTGAGCGTTCGCTTGGGCCACACATCCTGGACACTGAAGAACTGGAAGAGCTGTTCTTGGCCAACTCCCCAGAATCACTACCACAGGATGACGAGTCTGGCGAGCCCAAGCGTAAGACCACAATCGGTCTGGTCGGTTACCCCAACGTGGGTAAGTCCAGTACCATCAACGCCCTTCTCGGTGCGAAGAAGGTCTCCGTCTCTGCCACACCCGGTAAGACCAAGCATTTCCAGACTCTATACCTCTCCCCCGAGATTATGCTGTGCGATTGTCCCGGTCTCGTGTTCCCCAACTTCGCCACCACTAAGGCCGAGTTGGTCGTCAATGGTGTGCTGCCCATCGATCAGCAGCGTGAGTTCACCGGTCCCGCCGGTATTGTCGCCAAGCGTATCCCCAAGCACTTCATTGAGCAGGTGTACGGTGTGAAGCTCAGAATGCGTCCCATTGAAGAAGGTGGCACCGGCATCCCCACTGCCAGCGAGATTCTGCGTGCCTATGCTCGTGCCCGTGGTTTCTCCACTCAGGGTATCGGTCAGCCCGACGAGTCTCGCGCTGCACGATACGTTCTGAAGGACTATGTCAACGGCAAGCTTCTCTGGGTCAACCCTCCCCCAGTTGCCGAGCACGAAACTCCCATCGACACCGTCGAGTTCAACAGCGACCTATACGATCTCGCCCATCTTCCCGAGAGGCGTCGAGCTCAGCTCACACAAGCCAAGATTGGAAAGCATACCCCAGTAGCAGAGGTCACTGCAAACCCCACCGGCGAGGTTGACTTGGAGAACCCCGCTGGCCCAGCCAAGATTTCCGTCGAGCCGGAGCTCGGTCGCACCTCCCGCAACCTTGATACGGGCTTTTTCGGCTCAGAAACCGGCCCCTCTGCCGGTCGTCTGACCCTCCCCTTCCAGGCTCGGTACACCCAACAGGGCCAGGAGATGCGCAAGGCGCCAACGGGCCGCAAGGAGCGCATGATGGTTGCTCTTGAGCGTGGCGTGGATGTCTCCGAGGTGAAGGGCAACACCAGCACAAAGAAGCACTTCAAGGCAAACAAGCGCCTGGCCAAGGGCAAGCGCAACAACCCTGAGGATGACGACTACTAAAAAGTGATTTTCTTTATATTTTCCTTTGTTGCATTGTTGCTTGCGCTCGCAGGCGAGTCGAGGGAGATCGTACCGCTCTCCCTCTGCTCTACGAGGTATCATTCTTGGGCTCATGGGTCTTGGGGTGAATGAATTGATAGATGGTCCTACATATGGGATTTTCATGTCATGTCGGGATTGAAGGTTTATGTCCATGTTCATGCTCATGTTTGTCGAGGAATCATTTTTTTGGCGTTAGGGTTTTACGAGTTGAATAACGATTTATACCAGTCATTCATTCACTTGATTCTATACACTTTTCTTCTTTCTATCGTAAGGCCATCAAATCCAAAAGCCAAGTAAAAAAAATAAGCATGTTCGTGCATTCTTATTCAGCCGAACTACGCAGCGGACTATATCATAAAACTATATCTTTCCATCACTTCAAAGATGACTCTTAGGCTTGAACCCAGAAGCAGCAAGCAAACGATCACCCTCCTCACGCTGCCAGTTCAACTTAGCAGTAACCGCATCCTTGCGAGACTTGTTCTCGCGCTTACCCAGCTGCTGCAAGTGAACCTCATCAGGACCATCTGCAATACGCAAAGTACGAATACCAGCCCACATATACGCAAGCGGGGTATCCTGACAAACACCAGCAGCACCATAAGCCTGAATCGCACGATCAATGACAGTAAGCCCAGTCTGTGGAGCGAGAACCTTAGCCTGAGCGATTTCCTTCAGCGCGCCCTTGGCATCACCCTGATCGATCTTGATAGCAGCGTTCAAGACAATCAAACGGGCAGCATCGATCTCAATCCGCGACTTGGCAATCCACTCGAGAATGACGCCATGAGCGACTAAAGGCTTGCCGAAGGTCATCTTGCGCTCGTCGTTGACACGAGCAATCAACCACTCGAGCGCGCGCTCTGCAGCACCAATCGTCCGCATGGCGTGGTGGATACGACCAGGTCCGAGACGGCCCTGGATGATCTCGAAACCGCGGCCTTCGCCGAGGACCATGTTTGCTGCGGGGACGCGCACGTCCTTGAATGTGATGTGGCCGTGGCCGTGGGGGGCATCGTCGTACCCGTATACTGTCAACATGCGGTGCACTGTGATGCCTGGAAGTCCGGCTGGGACGAGGATGACGGATTGCTGCTTGTAGGTGTCTGGGTTGGTGGGATCGGTCTTGCCCATTACGAGGTAAATTGAGCAGCGGGGATCACCGGCACCGGAGGACCACCATTTCTATAGATTGGGTTGTTAGAAGTTGTTGAGGAGAAGAAGTGGTTTCTTAGAGCTTGGAGAGGTACTCACCGAGCCATTCAGGACGTATTCATTGCCCTCACGACGGATGTTAAGCTCAATATTTGTCGCATCGCTAGACGCGACGTCTGGCTCGGTCATCAGGAAAGCAGAGCGGATCTTGCCCTCCAGCAGGGGTGCGAGCCACTGCTTCTTTTGTGCGTCATTGCCGTACTTGGCGAACACCTCCATGTTGCCGGTATCTGGGGCAGCGTTGTTGGTAGCCTAGTGATAAAGGAATAGTCGTCAGCGATCAATCACCTCAATTTGCAAGACCTCCCCAACGAGTAAACCAATGCGCCAGACAAGGGACAAAATAACCCACCTCCGAGGCAACCTTGCTCTTGCCGAGCAACTCTGCCATCAATCCATACTCCAAGTTTGAGAAACCAGCGCCCTGAGTGAAGTGGTTCTTAGGCAGGAACATATTCCACAGACCGAGCTTCTTGGCCTTCTCCTTCAGGTCCTCCAAGATGGCGGGGTTGGTGTTCCATCGCTTCTCTCCTTCGCCAAGCTGGGCGGCGAAGACGGTGTCGGCGGGGATGCAGTCTTTTTCAACGAATTCCTCGACCTGGAAGCATGTTAGCATTGAGTATTAAGAAAACTAAACCAGGAGGTTCTCGGTAGTTCCTGTCCTGGGGTAAGTAAAGTATGGGGAATGAGTTACCAAGTCAAGGGTCCGTCTGGCCTGTTCGCTGACGAACGGCTGGACAATAGGGGGAATACGGGAAGAAGCAGACATTTTGGATGTAAAGAGTGATTAATTGATGTAAAATAAAAGAACCCAAGGGGAATATAAAGGAAATATAAAGAGAAGAAGTCAGCCCATGAATTGCGGAGAAGTGGAGAAGCCGACGGATTTTGTCCAGGAGCCTCGGCTCCCGAGGTCAGCGACTACCCGGGGGATTTGGAGATGTCAACTGATATATCTCACCACATTCAGGTAAATCGGCTAGATCTCCGAGACTTACGTTGTACATATCCTGTCTTTGAGACTAAGAATATTGCTAGTACCAATTATTGGTCAATATCACTGTATAACTGGCGACTATGTAGCTCAATGCCGGTCATTACGAACAAGAAAAAGGAAAGACAGCTAGCTACAGCCAGTAAAGCTGGAGTAATAAACAGGAGCAAAGCAAAGCAGCCAGAATAACAGCTCATAGACCTTATAATCATGTTCCAGCATCGAGTTCCGAAAATAGAAGTCATTTCAGCATCCCGAGGTCTGTATATACGAAGTTGACTGAAGGAAGCTTGGCGTTGTTAGTAGCCTAGAGGCATAGAACTACATATAGCTACGTCAAATATCAAAGTCCTAACCCAAAAAAGGTTTGATTTCATTGATCCCAATGTGCTCCATGAGATATCCCAATTACAGATCCATCCATCCCATACCCCGTACACACAAAAAAACAAAGGCATTGCAGGTCATCACAAAAAAAGAAGAAAAAGAAGAACATATAGAAGAATAAAGATCCCAGCTCAAGACCTGATCGTATCTAAGATCTCAAATCTGCCTTTCCTCAATGCATCCGACACAGCGACCGGCGCCGAGTAAAAGAGATTGAAGGAAAGACCATAGGACCAGAGTCTGAGGGGAAAGAGAAGAAAAGAATAGAAAGAACCAACACATGTCAAAAGACCTGGATCTTCTTAGTTTTCAGTCCGGCCCTGCTCGGCTGAAGATTGCTCGTAGCTCTTCTTGCCGAGCTTGGCGAACAGCGACTGGGGCTTGCCGGCACTGCAGATTGTTAGGTTGGAGGTCCAAAGTATATTAAGTCGACAGGAAATCACATACTTCTTAAACCGCTTGCCCTTGATATCGCTCAACTTCTTTGTGCAGGGGCTCATGATGTCGTCTGAGGGTGAGACGTAGGAGGTTGGTTGTCTATTATGGTATGTTAGTTTCTTATATAACATAAATGAAGATATTAAGAATACTCACTCCTCACTCGTGACTTTGCCCTGCAACACCTGGCGATGGTACTCCATTGATGAGATGTCTGAGGCCTTCAGGTCGGTCTTGTCACTCGCGTTGGTCAGGTGGGTGTTGGTTGAGCGGTCGGCCAGAGGCTGAGCTTGTGTGGTTGCGTCCATTTTGTGGATGTATAGGGATGTATAGGGATTCAAAGAGAAGTACAGTGAGGTGTGGGGTGTAGTGTGTAGTACAGAGGATTGAGAGGGAAGAAGGTTAACAAAAACAAATCGGATAAGATGAAAAACGTGTGTTGGAGAAAAATGGGAGATTGTTGTCCGGGCAACTGAGTATGACGCCACAACATACTCCCTCAATGAACCTTGGGATATTCAACTTGTTACTATCACAGGTTTTGATTTATGGATATCTGAGTTTAGAATTAAAGGAATGTAAATAACTCTAATCACAGTAATCACAATAGTAAACAAAATAATAAACACAGAATTCAACCAGTGGGAATCATATTGTCGTCCAAACGTACACGCAATAGAGTACATAGTACAGTGTACAGATGCAAAGCGCTAGTAAATAAAGATCAGAATGCAAGGGTCATAAAGGTATGGCTAAAGCCATTATAGCCGTTAAAAGGAGGATCACAGGTCGGGTGGCCTTGAATTATCGAGGTCGGTAACCAGGTCAACATCAGCCGGTGTAGTCATATCCAGGTCAACAGGGCGTCCATTCAGGACAGGCGGCGTACTCTGAGAGCGGGGTTGTGGTGTCGCCAGAGTAGGCACAGACATAGACTCCGGGGAGGCAGGTTCTTCCACCTTGTCCGTCTCCTCAACATCTCTGTCTGTAGAAGAGGAGGAGGTAGGAGTCGGAGGGGAATAGGCCGCGGTCGGACTAGCAGCGCTATCTTGATCAGACGAGTCAGACAGGTTTCTGCGATGGCCCCTGTTCTCACGGTATGAGGACGAAGTTGGGCGTGTCGACCCCGGGCTAGCCGATGGAGAGGCAAAAATTGGAGATGAAGACCGCAGACTGTAAGACCGAGCAACCATTCTTTGAACGGCAGGGAATTCCATATAGTTGCCTCCCGACCCCCGTGAGAACAGAGCCAGGGCAAAGCAGCAGAGGACCATGATGCTCTGGATCACGGTGACTCTCTTTTGGAAAACTAATTCGTCGGCAAGGACACCGAGCTGGCCGCTAATGGACTGGACTTCTTGGTGGTACTCCATGCGCTGGTGCTCAAATTCAAGAGCAACAGATCTCCAGACATGGTCGTACTGCTCGCGGAATTCTCTTAATTCATTGAGGACGGTTACGTTGAGGTTTTCAAGGAAGGTAGATGTCTTTGCTAGCTGTCGCTTCTCAACCTTGTTGAACGCATCGCGCAAGATGCGAGACTGTTCCTCGATGTAAAGAAGAGACAAGGTTGAGTTCGACTCAAGCATCTGGAGTCGCTTGTGGACGGATTTGAAGAAGGATTCTTGCGTTGTGGGGTTTGCAGATGGCGGTTGAGTGTTGGTAGGTCTCGTGGACTCTGGAGGAGGACTGTTCTGCTCCTCTCTGGCATTGATAGTGGCTTTCCCGATGGTCTCCGATGTGGTAATCTCCTGAGCAGTCGCTGAAGATACGCTTGAGGCATCCGGACCAGTCACGACATTTTTGGCAGGCTCACCTTGCTTCCGGGTATCCTCGGATTTTGGAGGGGTGGGTGGTCCAGCATTGGTCGCGGAGGGACTGCCTGCAACTGCAGCAGTAGAGTTCGGTTTCGGTGGTGGATTGGTCTGATCCGTTGTGGCTGACATCGACGAAGTTGTAACACGCGGCCCATCATTAATGCCGCATATATCACTATCACTGCCTTTCGCAAAAGGCGATACAACCTCAAATGGACGGTTCGGACAGATTTCATCCACTGTAACGCTAAATTCTACCGCAGGGATGAATTTCTCGACCAGCACCTCGACAGGCTTGCTTTCCAGTTCTTCGAGGAGCTGATTAGCTTCACTGGCCTCCAATTCCTCGACCTCGGCGCGGTCAGAGCTTTCGCCATGCTTGTACTCTTCCATCATAGTGGTACCATGCACGCGAATTAAGCTGATAGGGCAAAAGAACTCATGCCCATAATGCGTGAGGAATTCAACTCGAAGATATCGAGCCCAAATAAGCGAGTTCTCTACTGCGAAAGCTTGCACCTCACGAGTGTTGCGTGCCTCGTAGACCCCAAGTTCTTTCCATTGATCTGGTTTCGCGGGATACCGATCTGAGACACTAACCCGGAATGTGTGGAAGATAGAGCTGAAGAACTCATAGTTGGCAAGGACAACCGTATCAACCAAAATATCATCGCACAGTTCCAGGATAAGAAATTTGTTCTGAGCGCGACACTCATTGAGCATATAGCTATCCTTATTCTCAATAAGCACAGAAGAGGAACCCTTACACTCAGGATTCGTCTTCAGCACCGTAGCCGCACAGTCAAAGGAAGCATAGTTGAACCGCTCCTTGCAAGTAGTGCCAGCATCCTTACGGCGCGACACATCTCTCTGGAGCGCACTGTTCGCGTGTACATCCACATTGCCTCTTCTATCCGCATTCCCCGCCTGCCCGGCGTCGCGCGACGGGATATGCGAGCCCCAAGCGGTAGGACTAGCCTCGGGCGTCTCAGCGCCGAATCCACCAAAGTCCAACTCGATCTCTGAGTCATCACCGAGCGAATCCAAAGCATTATTGATTCCTGCCGGCTGCCGACGGTCTTCCTTTCCAGCTGCCGCGGCACGTCTGCTCCCTCCAACATTCTCGGCCGATTGTCCGACCTTCGCTAGGTTCTGTTTCTTCCAGTCCTCAAATGAGAGGAAACTAGCACCGTCTAATAGCGAGTCTGTATCTTGGTCCTGCTCTGCGTTCTGATCTGCGGTCGTTCTCGCTGTCTCTTCTGGCACCCCGCTTGAGATAACGGGTGGACTAACGACCGGGTCGTTGGTTGCCGCACTTAGATCGGGCGATATCGAAGCAAGGTACATATCGCGACCCGGTCCCCAGCGCGTCTCCAGGCATGGTGGCAGGTGGAAGAGCTCCGACTCCGTCTGCCATGTACTCTTCACTGGGCATGTTGTCACCGGTGTCGTGGGAATAGCAGCCTGTACCCCATTCGAGGGTGGCTGGGAGGTCGCATTGGAGAGCGCGTTGGGGAAAACAGCCAAAAGGATCGAGGCGGGGTATATCCAGGAAGTCAATGACCGGCCCGCGGTCAACATGCTGTCGGTTGGGTGATCAAATAGTAGCACTTTTATAGCTCTCTCGGTGAGTTCAAGCTATGAAGTCGACCTGCATGCTATGCGCATCGTGGCTAAGAGTAAGAACAGTGGACTCGGGGGATTTCTTGTACTTCGCTTTAAGTGTGAGATATTGCGATTAAGCAAAGCCAAGCTTGGCGACAAATGGCGGTCTCCAGAAAGAAATGGATCGATTGGAACGAACGGCAAGTGCAAGTGGACCGGTGGCATCCCAGCACCGACCTCTGACCGCCTTTATCGGGCTTGGCCAGTGCACTATCACGCTACGCCGCTACTCCGCTACTCCGTAAGTCGTAGAACGTTTATAATTCAACAATATAAGATTACAACTAGTTTTAAGACTACTCGTTACATGAAATTTACAGAGATCCCAATTCTTCGCGGATGATGATCAATTTTCCCTTTTCACTGTCTCATATAACTAGTTACAGTATAACACAATCAAGAGAAAACGGCCGCGGTTGTTTCACCAAGGCATCATACCAGGCAAGATCGGCTTCACCGCAACTCATTCCACCCTTTTCCCTGAAGAATCCACGCCAACCGTGTAGTTCGTATGGTATGCAAATGCCTCCCATTCAGAATCAAATATCCGCCAGCGCATTCCGAGCCAGCCTTCTAACCTTTTTGTGGTTTTTCGTACTCGTTGTCTCCGCCAGTGTCCGTCAGCCCCGGTCTGATATTGTACAGGAAAGAAAGAAAAAAACAGTTTGGACGACCGGGGAGGGTGATGCAATGCACGTGGCAAAACACCATCGAGGACGGACGGAAACAGACGAAACACTCAATCCAAGAACAAAGAGACATAAGACAAGAGAGCGGAACATTAATTTATCGTGGGTAATTTTGAACTTTTTTTCCCAACTGAATCGAAACATGCAAGCAGACATCAACATGAGGGGAGAGTATAGGATGAGGGTAGAATGAAGTGCAAGGGGATGCCGAGCACCCTAGAAGTGAGCATCATGCCACCCACCGACGAAATCGAGATCATCGTCAATGCTTCCATAGTCAGGAGGAATGAAGCTGTTAGAGACGTTGCTGCGCCAGTCCTGCCGTTCGAGCAAGTGGCGACGGCGAGCTTCCACAGGCGACGCGGGTTTGGATTTGGTCTGGTTGTATCCGCAAGTGCCTCGACCCCAATCGTGTCGCCGAGCGTTGGCAGCAACGCTCTTAGGACCAAAAACCTCACGCGACTTGCGAGGCTTGTACTTGCGCGCTTCGTCTTCGGGTTTGTATTTGCGTCGCACGTCACCAAGCATCGACCACTTATCGGCACTAGAAGGCTCTGCGTGGGAGGTCTGCAAGGGGCGAGGCGTGCTACTTGACGCACTCGAGTCGCTGTCTTCGTCCAAGGAAAGATCCCCCAGCACGTTAGGTTCCATCTTCAGATCCACATCTGGGCCTGAAGAGCGCTGGTTGACAGAAGCGGAGTCCGGCTCGCGCAATCCTGGGAGGATAGCTCCCTGGCTCTCTTGGCTCCAGCTGCGAGAGTTCTGCTCCCGTCGTTGAAGAACGGCAAGATCCTCATTCTCAGACTCCTCTTCGTCCCACATGTCGCACCAGCTCTTTGAGATCTTGTCGGCACCTTTGTTACCAAAGACCATCGACAAAGAAGGCAGAGGCTTTGTTGCATGCGACGGCAGTGATCCAGTGATTGAAACCGGATCAGAGCGAGGAAGAGTCGGTGCCTGACGCTTGCGAAGGTTGAGCAAGACGAAGGAATCACTGAGTTGAGAATCTAAAACAGAAGATACTGATGGAGTTTCCATGTGCGACGAGAACCATGAGGTGCCCGCAGCTTCGGAAGCTGGGAACAGATCCTCGGTATAACTCTCGTTGTCCGGGATGGCAGATAGTTGGCGGATAGCCTGGGGAGGGCTTGTCTGGAGCGCCTTTGCCCATGGGAAGGAGTCTCCCTGGTTGACATAGGGACTCTGGAGAGACGGGGTGCGAAGGGGCTCGCGGTTGGCACTAGCAGCAACCACCTCGCGGTCTTCGGTGCAGAACTCATCGAGAGATTCGTCGTCGGTAGTGAAAGAGACGGCGCGGCTGATGCAATCACGCACCTCCGCCAAAGACCTCTTCGAGGGATCGATGGTCAATGCATGGGTCAAAATCTCGTAAGTGTCCTGAGACATGTTGGGGAAGATGTCGAAAAGCGACTGGCGATCGCGCACATAATCCGCAAAGAGAACATCGGATTCGGTGGGGGTGACGAAGGGATTACGAGCGAACAGAATGTTCAACAGGCAGATGCCCACAGACCAGATGTCGGCCTTGGCAGGGGAGTATCCCGTCATGGTCGGATCATATTGCTCGGGGGCCATGTAGCGATCACTGCCTACACATGCCTCGTAAGACCACGAGTCTTGCGTAGCCAGTCCAAAGTCGCCTAGCTTCATGGAACCATCCTGTGTCAGGAAGATATTCTCCGGCTTGATGTCACGGTGATACAAGCCTTTGGCATGCATGAAGTCGACGGCACTAATCAGCTGTAGCATAAAATCCCGAACATGTTCAGTCTCCAATGGACCACGGTTATGGCTGATGGCCTCGTATAGATCTCCATTGGCACAGTACTCCAAAACAAGATATTTGTGAGTCTCGGTGTCGAATGTATGAATCAAGTTAACCAGATTCGGATGAAAACCAAATCGTCGGTGACACTCGAGTTCTTCGGAGCGATCGTCCGAACTCGTTGAGGTGGCCTTGATTAGACGTTTGATAGCAACATCCTGGCCTGTCTGGGTATCTGTGGCAAGGAATACCATGCCAAAAGACCCGTGGTTAAGAGGTGCCACAGTTCGAAAGCGACCATCCAAAAGTTGGCCCTCAACGAAATCTTCGTTCAAGCAATCCATGGTCGACATGTTGGCCTGATGATCCCAAAAAGGACGAATGCAGAGATGAGATGAAATGGGGGAACGGACAGATGTAATGCTCCAACAAAGAAATGAAGGTGAAAACAAGTCTATGAGCCGCTCAAAAGAACACTCAAGTGTGTGAAGAATGCGTCGAAGTGTGACAAGCAAAAGCAACCAGGCTAATGAAGATTAAAGAACAACGAAGAGAAGTATCAGGCTCGGAATCCCAAGGTGGATAGAGACGGGCGAAAAGAAGAGCCGGGAGTGGTCAAGAGATTGGGATGAAGGGAATCCTGACTGGCTCGCAATGTCATATAAAAAAATGTACTGGTGAAAGGTGATAGACAGATGAAAAGAGGAGAGAACGATGGCGCAGTGGCGTAGTTGAATGGACCCAGGAAGGGTTGTTGACGCTAAGGAAATGGGTAAAGACCGTTATGTGCTCATTTGTATTTCGTTTTTCGTTGGTTAACGGGAAGGGGTCCCAGGTGGACGACACGAATGTGTCAAAAAGAGATAGATAGGTGTTTGAAAGTCGGCCTGATACCGGATGAATCGAAGAGAGTCGAGATAAAGCGCTGCGTGATATCGTAATTGGACAAAGGTCAAAGATGTATAGGAGAATAAATGGAAAAGAATCCTATGAACACCGGGTTCAAGGTCAAGGGCCGTGACTCAAGTTGAAGATAATTGAGATTAATGAGTCATGAGGCCAGATGGTATTGTTGGGGCAAATTGGTTGGGCGAATTGAGGGATCCGGTAGAGCACCCTTCTAATCCAAGTTGGAAAAGGGGAGATACTCGATGCCAGGTTGCCCCTGAGGTATGAAACTCCGGAAGTGCGCTCACGACAAGGCTCAACCGAAGAGACGTATGATTGTCCACAACGGAGGGAATACCTTCGTGTGGATTGAAGTGACCAAGGCTGGATGTATTGATAGCACAATGACAATCCAACAGACCGGTATTGGAACCCTTTTATCGAGTTGATGGAAGTGAGTCACCCGAGCTCAGGGTGGACCCGGAAAACCAAGGAAAAGGGGTTTAGGACGGAGAGGCGAGAGAAATACTCTTCTGTCGAAGGTAGATCCGGATCAGACCTTCGAGCTTGAAGTTGTCGATAGAAGAGTACAGACGGTCCAGGGTTGGCAGCGTCTTGATATAATGGCAATCAGACACGGCAATGCTGGTAACCTTGGAGGCGTTGGAAGTAATCGAAAGGTGACGGATAAGTGATGGGGCTGAGAGAGGATTCGGGACGGTAGGAAGGCGGAAGGGGGGGATGGAATATAGGAGAGCGAAAGAGAAGATGATAGGGAACGAGGGAAGATGGATGTTGATGGTATAAGGGGACGAGAGAGAAGGAGCCAGGGAGAAGAGGTGTTGTAAAGGCGTGAGGGGAATTGGAGAGGCAAAATGATTGGCTATACCGTCTGATACGGTAACATACAAGTCTTCCCTCGTGGGCGGTTCATCCGTATGATCTACATTGTCCAGCTAATCCACTTAATTTGGCTGGCACCCGGAGGTCCTTGACCCGTTTCCGTCTCCCGGGGAAACTGGTAACGTATGGAATGAATACCGGTATTGACGTCTAATCGTCCAGGCTCTCCAAGTTTCATGAACCTTCCAGGCATTCCTTATCCTTGGTCAAAGACGTCAAACGTCTACGTGATCTCGATTATTGCGTTCAAGACGGAATCAGTGTTTAAGATAACGCGATAACACTAAATATCATTGTTGGTTGAACTTTGAGCCCATCACATCATTTACTCAACCCTATCTTTCACATTTCAGACTTTCAGACTTTCAGACTTTCTTCGAACTTCCCAAAACTTTCGAGAATCTGGTTCAGAGACAAGCCAGTCACAATGACGGTCGACATCAGCAGGGGCAGCCCTCTCTCTTGGACTTTCGTCGGCCGAGGGCGGATCAGGGTGGCGCGCTACTCCCAATGCGTATAATTGCGCAGCCAAAATGGAGGAGACTGGCCAATCAGAATGGATGATCCGGCCACTATTTACAGGCTGCATGACGCGATAGAGTGGGATGGCGTGATCTCTTCTGATTGGTTCACCCCGGATACCTACTGCAGTCGGGTTCAGTTATGCTGTGTCCAAGGTTTATGTGTACTGTGTGCTGTGCCTATGGGAAGGTACCCTTTCCGCAGGTACTCATGCACAGCGGGACTCGTTTCGGATGGTGTGGACCACCCTGGACTAACTTCCCAAGGGTGTTTTTCTTTTAATTCTACTCTTATTAATTCTTCTCTCCCAGTTACACCACTTGCTGCACTATCAACGTTATTCTTTGCCGCGCGGGATTTATGAGACAACATTCGTCTGACCCATAATTATCGCACCAATATGGTTTGCGGGGTCCGATGCAAATGCGACTATCTTCTATATCATCACAAAACAATATGATCATCAGTCGGGAATATGTCGTATGGATCGGACCCAGTTACTGATGTGTTTCCAGTACGAGTAAAGGGAGGTTGGAGAACGATCTCAATCCAAGAACTACAAGACACGTTGCGTTGTACTTTGAGTGGAGCGTGCTCCCAACTGTCATGAGTCCCAACCACCTTTCAGACACCCACGCAGCCCTGTCAAGCGGTGAAGGGAACGTCCTCGCTGCCCAGATGGCCTGGCCTTAGATCAGGTTTGACCGCCTCCTGCGGCCTGCAAGGTCAAACCTTGCAGGTCTCAACTTGATAGGTACGATGTATGCACACTTTTCCATTCAAAGCATGCTCAGAAGTACATAGTACCCGGACTCTTGAAACGATAGAGTTGGGTGTGGATGTGTGGCACGACTTCGGCGTCCGGCAACTCCTGTGCATCACGCGACGTCCCATATATTTTGCGTCTATCATCACCCCATTCTATCCCCATTCCTGTCGGAAATATCAACCACCCCCCTTCCCCCAATCGAATTCTTGGGCTGTACGTTTTATATGGAGAACACCCACCCCCTTTCGGTATAATGTTCCCCTGGGTTGCGTCGTACCTAACATATCATATATTGTACGCAATGTACGGAGTAGTGTACACAATA